AGAAAATTTTCATAGTTGGAGGAGAGAGAGACATGGATGAAGATATTGTAGGTGTGAACATTAATTTAATTACATGTTAAAAGTTATAATTGACAACACATAATTAAGAACCAAATTTGCAAATATTAGAAACTTTATAGGATCAATTTGTAATTTAAAGAAATTTTAGGAGGTGATGTATAATTATGAAAAAAAATGTAGTTAACAAAAAAATATTCAATTTTACTCTTGAAAGATGTAATAAGAAAGTCAAATATAAATAACAATTAATATTACTTTTAAATTATGTACAAAAAAATGCAAGGTGTTACACTTTCGGTGTCAAGTGAATAATGTCACAATTGTTTATTGTATATCAAATATGACATAGATTCTTCCTCCCTACAAGTTTTTTGACTGAGATAAATTATTTCCTAATAATATTCATAATACTTGATAAACACAACATATTTGATACAAAAAATATATCAAGGGATTGTATGCGTTGTTACTTTTTGTAATTGTTGTTGTAGTCTTTGAATATTTTTAATAATTATAATTTACAAATGAAAGAAAAATTAACTTCTAATTGAGCAAGTGAACATCATGATCCAATAAGTCTTAAAAAAAGTTGGTTCCATTAAAAAACAATGTCATTTCACAGTTGACTCTCGTGTGCCGAATGTTTGCCTAAACTCCCCACTTATTTGGTCTTTGCTCTCAGGTCTATTTCTGGACATTGAGTTTTAACCAGAATTATTCCTTGATCATGTACATCCATATATTTGTGATCATCAATGGTTGAACATCACTTCTATATCCAATAAGTTCGATAAGTGTTAAAAAAAGTTTGTTCAATTAAAAAACAAGGTCATTTTCACAATTGACCCCCGTATGCAGAAAGTTTGCCTGAACTCCCCACTTATTTGACCTTTGCTCCCAGGCCTGTTTCTGCACATTGAGTTTTAACCAGAATTCTTCCTTGACCATGTATATCCATATACTTGTGATCATCAATGACTGAACATCACTTCTATATCCAATAAATAATGGAACAGCGATAGAACAGTGCCGGAATCTGCTCTGTTCATCGATAAACGGTGGCGTGCTTCTGATAAAAGGTGGGAAGACATGCGATCAAAAGGGATTACTTCACAGGACTAATTTTTCGGGGGTTGAGCATGTTCCAATCGGTAGCGCAACGGCGGAATGTCCTCCGATAACCGTTGAACGGCGCAGCTTTGGCAAGTGACGGTGGAAACTCCATCAAGCTCTTCTCACTGGCGTGAGTGCTTCTCTCTCTAGGGTTTTCAATCTAAAATTCTGAATACGATTTTCAAATGCAAAAGTGAAACTCGTTGTTCAGATCCTCTGCATTCAATATCCACATTATTTATTATTTTTTATTCATTTTACACGTCGACCACCTAGAACATGACGGTGTAAAAAAATTTCAAATTCTAGGTGTGAAAGTATCATTACCCATTTTTTAATATGTTATGTTGTTTTTATGTTTATGAATATGAAATATTTTACACTGTGATAACTTTAACATGAATGTGTAATATTTTATTTGACATTATGCATTATTTTAATATATTTTTTACTTACTTTATTTAAATTATTGTTATTGGAACCATGAAATATCTACTGACTGATGTTCTCATGTGATTAAATATGTAGTTATGTCTTCGCCTTAATCAACTAAAAAACAAATAAATGTTAAATGAAAGGAAAAACTCTCCCACAAACGATGGAGTTCATGATTAAAATGTGCTACAAATTGAAGATGTCTTGAATCAAACATATTTTTTTAGCCGACCTTTTTTTACTACTTTCAGATAAATTTTATTTTTTTAAAAAAGAAATATTATATATATTGTTTTCTCTTATGAACAATTCACGAACTGACAAATGTTACGCACCGAATGTGTATCGATTATAAGTCTAATGTCCTATCATCGCTTTTATTTAACTAAATTTTATATATTCATCTAAATTAATAATTTAATCAAGTAAAGAATATTTTAAATAAATAAGCCGATAATAATATATCACCAAAAAGTGAACTAATAATAAGAACAATAATAAATACACGAAAGGAGCAATAAAACACCCCTAAGTCATTAATTGATGTAAATTCCAAATATTTATTTCGTAATATGTATTATTATTATAAATATGATGTCCTTTCAATAAACATTTTTGGTGCACCTAACTTTTATACAATTATATTATTAATATAATAAAATTGTAGTAACTTTTTCTGTTATAATAAGTATCGTGATAATTAATTTTGTTATTATATAATAAACGTAAACGTAAGCGAATGCATTATCCATAGTTGTATGCAGAATATGTTAATGTAATAAAGATAGTTGTTTGCATTCTTTATAGATGATACAAAATCACTACATGCAGATACAGACATATATTTGTATAAATATTGAGTGAGAAGTTGAAGATGACGTACTAAGGGAATATAAAATCGCGTTTAGGTATCTTAAGCTGAGACAAAAAGTTGAAGGCTCTGTGATAATTGGGATAAATTATCATTCAATTATTGATGTAAGATATGTATTAAAGCGTGGCTAAACTGGCCCCACGCTAATATTTATTTAAGGCACCATGGCTTAATTTGAAATAAACATAAAGTAACTAGATTATTTTTTTCACATAATAATATAGTTAATAACTCGATTTAAGGGATTAAGTTTAAGTTTCTTTATAAAAAAAAAAAGTCAATCTTCAAGTTCAGGTCAAAGTTTTATTTTCAATCCGTTTTTGTTATCGTTAGATAGAACTGGAGTGCTATTTGCTGATGTCAAAGTCAGTGTTTATCTCATAGTGCTAGCAATAAATATGCAATATCAATATAACCAACTAAATGAATAACAAACATATATTTATAGATTATGGAATAAGTTTTTCATTAGTATTAATCTAATTATGATCCAAAGAGTGATGATTTAACTTAGGATTAATGAATTATTCTTAACGTTAATTTTGTTTTTAGTCTCACATATTTATTGACTTGTTGGGTACAAACAAAGTTCCACATTGAATAAAATAAGAAATGGATATGTGTTTATATACACATAAGATACCTTCATTGGTAAGAGGCTTTTTAGAGTGGTACCAAAAGCAAATCTGTGAGGGTTTGACTCCAAAGCGGACAATATCTTACCATTAATATAAATAGTAAAAGTTTGAGAATTAACTTTTGTCTTTTTCAGATAAATTTGTTTGAATTGTCTGAGTAACTAAAATGTTGTTTAAAGGAGTAATTTGTTTTTATAGATGTTTATGAGGTTTAGAAGCAAGTTCAACTACAGCAATTAAGAAAAGTTATTTGCAATTTAAACTTGTATTACTGCCATAAATAATTATTTGTGTATGGTCTTAACATTTGAATGTTTAGTCAAATTATAAAGTTTTGTTTTAAAAAAGTATTGTGTTAACACGTCATAAGACGGTTTTGAATAAGTTGTTTACTCAACCTGTTTTTGATGGAATGACTTTTGAAGCCATAGATTAAATATGATTAAGTGCTTCTCTGATCGTTTTGCTTTTGTTATTATCCCAACTTAATGTAATCTTCGTCATCATTTTGTTTGCGCCCAAAAGAGGGGAAAAACAACATTTGTCAATCTCCATAGAGGTTGAAGTTTCGTGTTTTTAAATGTCACCAGCCACTGACATTTTCAACTAAGAAAGCAAAATGTCACCATGATATAACCAAAGATCGTGATTAATTTAACACTAGTAATTTCATATCTTGTACCATTTCCTTTGTCTATGCTTACTTGTAATTAGAAATTAGAATATGACATCCCTATGAATTTTTCACTGACTTGTTCTTTTCTTCTGTCACTAATATCCATTATTCTATACCTGGTCAATAAATGAAGTAATGAATTTATTCTCCCTTATAATAATAATAATATTTTGACATTAATAACATTTATTTAAGCCACATAGTATACGAGTAAAATATTCATAAACTTTTGTACTCAGTAAAAAGAATTGAAAATGATAAAAATTAATATTAAATAACCGTAAAAAAAAATGGAAGTGTCAAAATATTATTATTCTTTAATTATTTAAAAAACTCAAGAAGTTTCAAGTTTTTAAATTTTACTAAACTCACACATAAAAATAATAATTAAATATATTTTTAATCCTATGAAATTAAAGTTTGTTTAGCTGTGATATATTTTAATTTCTAAATTAAAAAAAACAATGAATATCAAACTCTATCGAAATTTAAAATAAAGATAGTTCTAATTTCAGATTAAATTTTAAGAAAATATTTAACCTAAAAGGATGAGAAAATGAGAGTGATTGCAGAGCAAATAGACATTTTTACAAGAACAATGATACTTTGACAACATTTTTTTGATAACATTTTACCATTATCTACGTATCATTATGTGATCCAAAATTATTCCATAAACCAATCCCAGAATGAGATGATCAGTGTTAAAATATTGTAAAAAAATCTTCTCAAAGTATGTTATCCTTTTCATTTCCCTGTAATCATTTATCTAATCTACGTAAGCTTCTGATATACGAGCTGCTTCTACACTTCACCTTCGCATCAACAAATTCTAATGGAAGAAACATGAAAAGCAGAAAGTTATGATTTTTAAAAACTCCCATAAAGCGCACTCAGAAGATTTCCCTTCTTGCGTTCAATTTTCATTTTCACTTTTTGAGACTTACACTGGAAGCTGATTTATTTAACAAGTTCCATGCCTCAAACTAGTTCAACCATCATTTAGTTCGAATTCCAACTGCTTTATCTAACCATCGACGTGAACCGGTCACTAAACAGATAAACCAATTGAATTACCCTATTCAACCCGATTTGAATGACAAAAATTTCCACTCTGACACAGCTTAAATCGAGATCGAATTAAACCTACGATAACAAAACAAGAAACCACTGTTCCTTTTACAATAATCAGACAACAATAAGAATTAAAGAATCGAGGAGGGAAAGAAATATCAGCGAAATGTGAAAAAATATATGAATATATACACACAGAAACCTGAAGGCAGTGGGTGTCCTAGTTATTTTGTTGCAGCAACATTTACACGAGGATAGAGTACAGAGGATGATTTGAGGTAAGATGAAGATAACAAATAATGAATATTTGGCTAAGCTATTTTTGTGCAGAATCTAGAAACAAAAACCAAAACAACTAAGTAACTAGCAAGGTAGCAAATCATCGCCGAAGAGATAGAGAAGTCTCTCAACAGCCCAACTAGGCTGAGGAGGAGGCTGACAAGCGGCAGAGTAGTGGTGGCAGCAAGAACTCAGCAAAGGGGCTCTGCAGAGTGGACACGTGGGGTTGTGATTCTCGTGCTCGTGCTCCAGCCATCTGTCTATGCACTCTCTGTGGAACACGTGGTAACAGTTCATGAGCTCCCGAACCTCGTCCTCCATCTCCAGCTGGCTGAGGCAAACCGCACACGTGTCCTCGGTCTGTGGCAACCTCTCCTTAATGTCTCCGAAGGTGGTGAGCAAAAGGGTGGTGTCCCTCTCCCTTGTGGTCTGAGGACAGGATTCAGGTGGGGTGTCTTCAGACGTTGTGGTTGTGTCGTTGATGAGTCTGAAGAGGAAGCAGAAGAGCCATCTGAGAACTGCAATGATGAGAGCGGCCTCGTATATGGCCTGGCCTATTGTGAAGCCGGAGAGAGGGTCTTCGATGTAGAATCCCATTGGAAGCAGCTATGGTGGAAGAAAGTGTATGTGGGAGAGAGAAGAAAGGGAAAAGGGGGAAGTTGTAATGGGTTCTATGGCTTTTTTATAAAGCCGAGAAGGGAGTGGTGGTGTAGTGGAGGCTACTACTATGCCTTTTTTTTTTCTGCTTTCTCTTTGGCTTTCCTTTTACTTTCACTCGCTTCTACGTTCTTTCTTCCCATGTTTTTTTTCTAATTATCTTTTTTTTTATTGTTTAGTTAAAGGTTATCCACCGTCCCTTTTGTGATTAGGAATAAAGGGTCACCGACGAGTCTTTAAGACTCTCCCTCGTGTCATCAGCAGCCAGTGTGAGGATCGATTAAGCCATGCTTTTTTAGTAATCAAAGAATGAGATGGTTATTCACAGCTAATACAGTTGCGACATCTGGCATAAAAATGGATTTTCAGATTCTCTATAAATTAGTTTTGATGTCTTTTTGTCTCTCTATTTTAGATATAACACTTCTGCATGGCATCTCAGAGAATTACAATCAACTCACTTATAAAATAACATGGGTTTTTCTACCAGGGTGTAAAGAAATTTACATCGCAATCTAATTATAAATCTTTTTTATAATAAATTGGTAAGAATTTTTTTAAAAATTATTATCTTAATTCTATATACTTACATACGCGTGAAAACAGGGAGTGACGGGGTAATGGGAGAAAAAAAAGCACAGTTTCAAATACTTATTTTAATGTAGCAAATCAACGCGCTTTCAAGTTGAAAATTGAGTGAAGTATATATATAGTTTAATTTTGATTGACCATGTTAACTTCAGAAAAACAATTGCTTAATACACTTTTCGCTGCCATCAATTTCGGGCATAATTGGATTCAGTTGTTAAAATAATGGGATTTGTTAGGTGAAAGATAAAGGGAACAATAGTCAGGTTGCTTTTTCACATGATCATGAAACGTCATAGTGGTCCCATTGCATGTGTAGATTCCTAACATCCTACTCAGATCCAACCCATGCACAGTTCATTACCCCCATTTGATTAAGAAGTACGATGAACATGACAAACGGGAAAGGGTGTTCTTAGTGGAGGAGCGAAAGTGCCTCGTATACGCCACAAAACAGTCAACTATGACTCATTGCTTGCAACAGAAGAGAGAGGAAATTACATGGGCATGAAATGGGATTTTCATACCACATCATACCTAGAAACCTTTCAATTTTTAGAGTTCCCCATTTATGACTGCATGCGGTTGAAGAAAGTAAGAAAGCTCGGCTTAACAACACATAGATGCACGCTAAAAGAATGCTCTGATGTCATTAACCAAAGAAATTTACAAACTGGGAACTGCCTGATTTGCGTCACTGATAAAGTGTCTTATATAGGTAGGCATACTTAGATTGCCAATTCACAAAGATGAATTGAACTCCATCTCTGTCAAAGTTATCCATAAGCAGATTTCTTTTTGTTCTGGCAAAAGAGAACTTTTAGACGGTGATAATATTTGAAGCTCTCTTTGGGGAGCACTGCATAAAAGACAACTAATAAAAGTAATAAATTGTTCGAATGCTTTAGTCCCTTGCGCCACCTTCTTCTATCTTTTTACGCATTTTGTATTGCAGTGTAGCTGGTGCACAATCTAAAGGTGTTTCTCCTGAACAAGAAACAGTTGGTTAGGATTTTCATACAGCAATTTTGCTGCATATTTTATATTTTTAAGATATTTCTTACAAAGAACAACAGCAAAAACAATATAATAAATGGCTGAATTCTACAAAGGAAAAAGATCAATTGCCTTGTGCATTTTTGTACTCCAGGCTTGCCCCCGAATCCATGAGAGTGAAAACTATATCAGTTTGATTGAAGACTGCAGCCTACAGAGAATATTAAAATTGGTGAACACCATATGATCAAGAAAATAGAACTATGCTCATGCATGTGCACAATCATGAGCAAACATTGGCAAAAGAGAGAGAAAGGTACCAAATGTAATAAAGACAGTCCTTGCTTGTCCTTGTAATTTGCATCCACACCCTGCGCATTTCAGAATCCATGAATACTACTTCCAAAAATATAACCTATAAAGGTAAGTGTCTATTTAGAAAGTGACAAACCTCGTTAAGAAGTTTCTTGACAGCACCAATATCACCATTTTTTATTGCCTCTCTTAAACCCTGAAAGCGTCACAGTTAATTCAAGATATGATTTTAATCTCCCAATATCGTTTAGCACAATACAGAGAAGTAATTGTTTACATTTAAACAGAAAAACATTTACCTCTCCACTAACTCCATAATCACTTTGAGGTCTGTCTGAGGTGCCATTCATAGCACTGTAAATTTGCATCATAAACTATCAAATGATGACACAATAATAAAACATTCAAGTGAAAAATTAATTCATGAACTATGATGCATGGATATGATGCTTATCCAACACGACAATATGTTTATTTTGAAAATAACAAAATGCGACTAGACAATATGTTTATTTTGAAAACAACAAAATGCAATACATGACCGATACATATTTAAAAATGTACTGAAGTTCCTAAAACATAATAAATATATAACTACAATACAATTGTGCGAATCCAAATTAAGATTTTATTTCTTATGCATTGTCAAAGTAAAAAAATTATAAATATTAATATCATCAAACAATTAGGGATTCATAGATTGAGTTGACAAGTATAAGTAAAACATCTTAAATAATTGGATACGAATACGTGAGAACTCATGAATTCGAGGTGAACAGCTTATGAGCTTAACTTAGGTATAACGAGACTCGTGATTGTTTCGTAAATGTATGGTATCTCAAAGAAATGTCAGGATACCAAAAAAGCCAAATTTTCCAGATGAATGTACTTCATCAATTCATTCTCTCATATTCACAAGGAAAACAAGAATAAATAGCAAACAGCCATTATGGTGTCTATGGCTGGATTATAATTCCCGTCTAGAATATTCCAACGTAGATCCACTCCTTAATTTTCCAGAAATTGCTTGCTTTTTCAGCTTGAGTTTCAGATGACAGGTAAGGTTATCATCTCAGCCAAGGAATGCTTAATATACGAGAATACTGTTAGAATCTTGTAAATATAGTAATGGTGGATATTAAGATGAATTAGATTGATTCTATATTTATGTTAATTAATAGTATAAAATAGGGTAATTGAATTTTTTTTCCCCAATAATTCAATAGCTCCATTATGGTCTAGACACAGAAAATTCATCATAAGCTGTCTTGTTTCTCATTTTATCTACATGAAATCCAGAGCCTAACCAGAGGATGATTCCAAGATGTCCTGATAAACCTACCGTTCATCAGAATCTCTTTTTTTTTTCCATCAATGTTTTGCCATTCTATTCTTGCCACCACTACTAGTCTTTTCTGACAAGCAGCAAACCATTGACACTGTCTCCTTAAGAGCAGTCTATTCCCATCAATTTGATAGCCATAGGAGGTTGCATGCACCCAGACACACCGCCTCTATCCATGTGTGTTTCTTCTCCCACATGCTGCCAAATCCAACAAATTTGACAACACATCAAGTGTCTATTCCTAACACCATCAACTGGGATTTGTTTGCCTATCTTTCCACCATCTACATATGGTATCGGTTTGGTGTTTGGACATCTCCTTGCCACTGTTTTGTCCTGTTTTGGCCATTATTTGCCAGTTTCTCTCTTATTGCAGACCAATGCCAACCTCTGGCACTATGAAGTTTAACACTCGGTTTTTTACCAGCCATTTCAATGCACTTCTCATCCAAGCTATTGGATGGTAAGAACTACTCCTTATGCACTTCTCAGGTTGAACTTTGGCTTATTGTAAGTGAGACACATCTCACTAAAAAGAAAGACAATTTTTCCATAGTAGATCATGTATGGAAGAAGGTTGAACTTAGTTGTGTTGTACCATCCAAGCCACCATTCACCCATGTCTTCACATGTATTTCACACTCACAAACCTGCAAAGCAATTCAAACACGTGCCAAACAACCTTTTACAAACACTTCTCAAGGACTATTAGATTTGTGAAGTTCTCATGACCATCCATATGGTTACCAGATTAAGGATTCTGATTCGATTTATTTAGGTAAGGTCTTTGTTGTTACTCTTGTAGCATAGCTTCAAAATCATCAAAAGTTATTCCTGCCTTTGACCTTATATGGTTTACCCACAAAGTATTATAATGCTTGAGCTCAAATCTTGGTAGCCCCATATAAGCTATAATGGGCAGTATTGGCGACTCTCTTTCGTGTTGCTACTAAAGCCTCCTCTGAGTCTTAGCCCCTTCCTGTTTCACTTGACTCTTCTGATTTAGTCGCTGGCAACAATATACCCTTACAACACAATAAAGGACGTCCTTGATGGGAACATTGTCAAAGGTTGGCACATAATTGATAAGCATTGGACACTGTGTGGTCAATCTCCTTTCACTTCCTGGGTTATTTAGAGTTCTAGCCCTCCTTCTTTAGCTTCCACTTCTTTGTTGCCTTTGAACTAGTATCATCACCTTCCTATGATGACTTCCTGAAATGTTATGAAGATCGTTAGGGTGGCTTCATTGCTACTGTTGCACTCACACTCTTTGGGCTTTTGGGTCCTTGATTCTAGGCCACCGATCATATCACCAATAATAAATTCATTTTTTTCTTGTCTTTCTACCTTTGGTTAATAACCTTTTGTCACCATGGTAAATGGTTCTCAAACACAGTCCCAAAAAGAGGTCACCATTGCTCTACGAAAAAGTATACATTCTACTTATAGTCCTACTCCATCTTATCCTTTTTTGAGTTATCATCACATTTCTACTTTCTACTATTTTTTGTCTTCCTTGTCCTCTGCTACTACTCCTAAAAATACAACTGAAGTCTTTGTCCATCCAAGACAAAAATAAGCTATAATAAACGAGATGTGTGCATTGCAGAGAGCAATGGGACATCAAACCATGTTCCTCTACCACCAAGGAAGTCAATGATTGGTTGTCAATAGGCATATGTAATCAAGGTTGATCAAACGTAATAATGACCAACTCTTCCAGATATCTCATTTGCAAGTGTAGTAAGTCAATTCCTCAATTCTCCACATAAGGAACATTGGAACACAGTTACTCACATTGATCAAAAAATTATA